TACCCTTCACAGATTAATTTTCCATCTCTTTGTGAGTGTTCATATGTCCCTCAATATACCTTGCATATATTACTCACATTCCTGAATTTATCCAAAATGTCAAGTTCATATCATCTATATGAATTGCTTTTTGATCCAACTCAAACCTGATACACAAGATGTTGAGTGGGATTTTTCCTCGTGTTTTGAAATTATACCTAAGGCCCCAAACTGAGAACATAACATGTGAAGTAGCCCACTTCTAAGTTTGAAGAGCCCCTACAAGTTTGGGTCAGCTGCCCCCTGAAAGACTTATTTAAAAACCCAGAACTGGATCTGCTATCTAAATCACCTTCCTACTCTGAGTTGATACAGGCAGGAATGGGACTGAGGTGGAGAAAGTTGCCTGCATTGGGGGAGCACAGTGTTCGTGACTAACATTTTGCTAACTGGGAAGTTATGGGTTCTGGCCAAGATCCTTTACTTTTTTCTCTTTTTTTTCATCCACATCCGAGGATATTTTTTTCCACTGATTTTCAGAGACAGTGGAAGAGAGAGGGAAAGACAGAAATATTGATGTGAGAGAAACACATTGATTGGTTGCCTTCTGCACAAGCCCCACCCAGGGCCTGTGCTAGGAAGGAGCCTGCAACCAAGTACATGACCTTGACAGGAATCGAACTTTGGACCCTACGGTCTGCAGGCCGATGCTCTATCCATTGAGCCAAACTGGCTAGAGCTGGCCAAGAGTCTTTATGACAGCGGTTCTCAACCTGTGGGTCGCAACCCCTTTGGGGGTCGAACGACCCTTTCACAGGGATCGCCTAAGACCATCGGAAAACACATATAATTACATATTGTTTTTGTGATTAATCACTATGCTTTAATTATGTTCAATTTGTAACAATGAAATTGGGGGTCACCACAACATGAGGAACTATATTAAAAGGTCACGGCATTAGGAAGGTTGAGAACCACTGCTTTATGAGAATTGCTAACCAGCAAGAAAGGAGAACCTATGAGATAGCAGTTATGGAGAAAAATGAAGTTATTACTTTTACTCCAATGAATTGAGACTTCTAAAGACCCAATTTCATAAATAAAAAAAGGAATTTATTGTCAAAATCTCTCAAGTAATATTATTTGATTGCTCCATGTGCTAGGCACTGTTCTAGGCAGAGGGGATACAGCTTTGAAAAATATTAAGCGAGGTCCCTGCCCTCCTGGAACTTGTAGGAGTCTAGGAGTAGTACTGGCTCCAGGCCAATGCTCTGTCATCAGAAATATTTTTCTGAATCTCTCAGATTTTTTTCTTTGCATAACCCAAATCGTCCCCCTCGAAGGCCAGGTGGTCACCGGTGTAGCAATTCTAACAGAAGAGAGACTGTTTTCCCCAGTCTTGCAGAGTGCCAGACTATCTCAATGACCTGGCTTGGATCAGGTGCATATCTCTGAACTGGACTGGCCAAGTCTCAGTTATTGGGAGGCCACCATTGTTTGTGCAAGCTTCCAATGCAAAGGATAAAGCAGGGACTGAAATCCAATGCAGGGCATACTTACCAATTCTTTGGTGCATGACTTTGTCTGCGGGAGAGGGGGGCCTTTTTATAATTCGCACTGAGACACACAGAGGTCTTGGCCATGTCCTCACCTTGGAGCAAAGGTGAGTAGAGTTTATCCCACATAAACCAAATGATCTGAGGTTGGGGAAAGGGTGGGGTGCCATTGCCAGAAGTCAGAACAGGGATGCTGGGCAGGCAAAACTACAACTTCTAAACCATGCCAGAACTAGGCAGTCCATTCCTGGAAGCAATGCTGTACATTACTTCCAGCCAGAAATTTGATTAGAGTGGTTTAGAGTGGGGAGGGAGATTTTAGAGTCAAATTACTCCCTCTTCTTATCCCTTCCACCATTAATTTCATTTACGTAATGCAGCTCTTAGTTCAAATGAAATGAGTCAGCATCAGGGCAAACTGAAATATGACTTCCATACCAAAGAAAGATACTTTTCTTTCTGTCAGCCTCAGTGGGTAAGTGATCTCCTAAGTAATAGAAATTTTTAAAAACTAGAGGCCAATGTCCAGGTAGGTCATAAATATCTGTTGTATGTGGGATCTTTTTATTTTTAATTATAAAATACATATAACATATAATTTACTATCTTTTTAAAAAATATATATTTTATTGATTTTTTATAGAGAGGAAGGGAGAAGGTGAGAGAGTTAGAAACATTGATGAGAGAGAAACATCGATCAGCTGCCTCCTGCACAGTCCCCACTGGGGATGTGCCCGCAACCAAGGTACATGCCCTTGCCCGGAATCGAACCTGGGACCCTTGAGTCCGCAGGCCGACGCTCTATCCGCTGAGCCAAACCAGTTAGGGCTAATTTACTATCTTAACAATTTTAATTGTACAATTCAGTAGTGTAAGTACATTCATATTGTTGTGCAACCAATCTCTAGAACTCTTCATCTTTTATAAAATTGAAATTCTACACCCATTAAACAACAGTTTACCCTTTCCCCACTACCCTTATCCACTAGCAACCATCATTCTACTTTATGAATTTGACTACTCTAAGCACTTCATTGAATATCCAGACTCGTACACTATTTGTATTCTTGTGACAAGCATCGTTACTCCCTCCCTGGCCCCAGCACAGGCCAGGCTTATTACTAAAGGGAGTTGGAGTGGGAGGCCCTGGGTCTGCTCTTTACTCTGCCTGGATTCCTACAACCCGGAATGGAGGTGGCAGACATGGTCTAGTTCTGAAGTCACCCCCTCTTTTCAAGGCTTAATTCCTGTTCCATTGAGGGGTGGATGGGGGTGTAAGGGAGGCAGGGTCCTCCTTATGTAATTGGCCTTCAACCTAGTGGTGGGACATCATCTCTCTTCCTGCTTTGGCATGGTACATGGTGTGTCGAGGCCATTCTTAGCATCAGCAGATCCTCCTTGGGTCCCTTGAAGAGGAGTAGCTCCTTTTGGCTCTTCCAGCTCTGTCTCAAAACCCTCTTCAGGAGGGGTGACTTCGTAGGCAGCTCCCGGCTTCTGCCTCCCCCTGTAACCTCTGAGCTCCTTTTTATGGGACTAATGGTGATGATCTTTTCCAGGCCTCAAAGGCTGGGAAAACTGCAGTGAGGTATCTCTGTCCTTTGCTCAGCACATCACATTGCTGCTCCTTCTCATCTACTGGCTCCAGAAACCTCCAAGTGTGATGTAGTCAGTGGTCTCTACATTCACATACACCCCCAAACTTGAAGGAAACAGGAGAGATGACGCCTATCAGGATCTTCCAGTGACTCTCTTTC